CTATCATCTTCTAGTTCTTCTCAGCCTTTAGATTTTGAACCTTGAAGAAGTAAAACAGATAGAATTCAAAAAGATTTTGGAGAAGACTTCTTTACCTTTCTTATTGAAGGTGGTCCAAGCTCTTTTAAGAAAGCAATGGATTCACCTGAATCTTCTTTCTGGAAAGAAGCCATTGATAATGAGATAAAATATATCATGAAAAACCATACTTAGATACTCACCGACTTACCTCCAAGTTATAAACATGTTGGCTATAAGTGGATAGTCAAGAAGAAACTTAGAGTTAATAGTTCCATTGATAAATATAAAGCTAGATTAGTAGCTAAAAGCTATACTCAGCAAAAATGCATCAATTACTTTGATACCTATTCTCCTATAGCCCGAATCTTAACTATCCGAGTATTATTAGCCTTTGCTGCTATTCATAAGCTGATCATACATCAGATGGATGTCAATTCTATTTTCCTGAATGGTGATTCAGATGAAAAAATCTATATGCATCAACCTGAAGACTTTATTATCAAAGGTCAGGAAAACAAAGTCTACAAACTCATTAAATCTCTGTATGGTATTAAACAAGCTCCTAAACAATAGCACCAAAAATTTGACAGAGTTATTGCACAATATGGCTTCACTGTGAGTGAAAATGATAAATGTGTTTATTCTAAAGTGATAAACAATGACTACGTCATCCTCTGTCTCTATGTTGATGATATCCTTATCTTGGAGCAACTCTTGAATTAATCTTAAAAGTTAAGGATTATCTCTTCAAGAACTTTGATATGAAAGACTTAGATCTTGCCAACATGATACTTGGAATAAAAATCACTAGAGATACTAGAGGAATATCTTTAAATCTTTCTCATAGAATTGAGAAAATGCTAATCAAATTTAATTTTCGTAACTCTAAACCCTTCCCCACACCTTATGATTATTTTATATCTTTGAAGAAGAATGAAGGTGAACATGTCTCCCAGCTAGAGTATACTCAGCTGATTGGATCTCTTCTATACATATCTAACCAGACCAGACCCGATATAGCTTATGTTGTAGGGAGACTGAGCCAGTATACCAGTAACCCTAGCTAAGATCACCGGATTGCCTTAGAGAGAATATTCAAATAATTGAAAGGCACAGTTGACTATTGCTTCACTTACACTGGGTACCCTGATGCTATAGAAGGGTATAGTGACGCTAACTAGATCACGGGTTCTAACGATGTAAAGTTTACATATGGATATGTTTTTCTTTTTAGTGGTGTTGTTGTATCCTGGAAATCATGTAAGCAAACAGTAATTATCAGGAACACCATGGAATCTAAATTGATTGCTCTTGATACCACTTGTATTGAAGCAGAATGGTTAAAAGATCTACTCTTTGAACTTTCTTTGGTCCCTTAAACCCTCTCCTCCAATTTTCATTCACTCTGATTCTAGATCTACCATAGAGCTTCTGAAGCAAGTACATGTTAATAAAAAAACTAAGTAGATATATTCAAATAAAATATAAATTCATACAACGTCTGGTAGGCAAAGTTGTGATCTTAGACTTTGTAAAGTCCGAGAAGAATCTTGCTGACCCTTTGACTAAGGGTTTATCCAGGAGTGTGGTTCTAGATTCATCGAGGGAGATGGGGTTAAGCCCATAAATGAGGTCACTGACAGCGGTAATCCAATCTTTATTTGAAGACGCAGTCCTAACGTAGGTTTAATATGGTAGTAACAAGCTGGACTAGTGACACTCGTGTGGAGCATCGACCTACATATATTTATATATCATTATGGTAGCATCTGCTACTTTTCCTTCTGTATGGTGACGATGCTCTTATGATACAGGTGGTTAGGCTAAGTTTTACTCTTAATAAGTCCAACGCGTGTATTGCGGAGGGTATGATATCTAGCTATAGTAGCCTTAGAGTACTTACCTACATGAGAGAAATCGTGATGGCCGTGGTTAGGGGGTGGTTGGGCTAACCCCAAGAAACTTTCATGAGTCAGTTTATTGTGAGCATGAAATTTAACGCTCAACTCGTTATGCTCAATAGAGAAAGACGTATTGTGTGTGTTTTCATCAATACATGGTACAATAGGCCTAATTCAAAGCCTAGTCCATTATGTCCCTCAGGTGTCGATGAACTCATTAAGGAAAGGTTCAAGGCTGAAAGCTACCTCTCCCGAATTCACGATACGAAAGGTTGCCCAACCTATATTTGTTTTGTGATTTATTGATTTATTTATTAATTTTTATGTTTTCAGCCAAATATTAGTTTGGGGTGGAGGGGGGGGGATTTGGCTATGTTATTGAGAAAAGACAATTTTGCCATTGTGAATGGTCCTACATTGGAAAATAAAATGAATAGCTTATGGTTGAAATTGCATCTCCTCTTATTGGGCTTTGAATAGTATTTTAGGTTTTGTATTGTTTGAACTTTGCGTATCACACGAGCGCGCGCGTAACGCCGCACCGCATGCTTACGCATTTTTGTTTTGTCAAACTTCTTTTGCACGTTTTTTGTGTGCGTAACTGCTGTGAGATTTATGCGTAACGATCAAACTTTACGCGTGTTTTTTGCGTACGTTACGCGGAGTTTACTCAACGGTTATGGGTTATGAACACTATATATAGCCGTGGGGTGAGCTCAGAATAGACACAGAAAAAAAACCTCTTCTCATCTCTTTGACAGAAAAAAACTTTTGTCTTTCCCCTCTCTAAAAGGTTTTCAGTTTTGCTTTATTGGGCAATCTTCTTCATCTGAGCTGAAACTCTGTTCTCTCGCCCGAATACAGAGGTCGGTCGATTCCGGGGGTTTTACCGCTAGAGGAAAGGGGATCATCTGTGCCAGGGCGATAGGCGGGTCCTTTATCTTCTAGGGCAATGTTTACACGACTGCTCCCGATCAGGCCAGATTTTCTGATGCTTTTTTACATTCGAATTTATTTGTTAATTTATATGCTATGAGCTTAATATTTGATTTATAACCAACAACTTATACATCAACACAAGTGTATAATACTAACACATTTGTTATACTATATATAACACGCGTGTTAATTTAAACCAACTAAAATGCATTCAATTAGCCAATGTGAGACTAAAACTCACATACTACTTATTAAACACATTTTAATTTTCATCTATGGAATCCAATCATTAAATGATATCTTTCAATAAAAACCCTCTAAGATTCATTTATTTCAACATTAGATTCACTAGCTCTCAAAAACACATACTAGTGTGTAAGATATGAGCTCGTCTTATATATGTATTTTTCGTATGTGTGTACTATTGTTTAATGGACGGTTATAACACTGTTATGAGCGAGTATTTTCTCTGTAGTGTCTTCTATATATCTAGCATTAGATTGATTAGATATGAAAATAGTACTAGGACTAAAGACTCATACATGGTGATTTAGTTGTACAGATGATACGTAGTGTATTCGGGTATGGCATTGCACAAAAGTATCGATGTATTCAATTAATGGAAGTACTAGTTGTGTAAATGATTATACATTGTACTTGAAATTGATCACAAAATTAACAAGTATTGAAGTGAATATTAATGGTTATACATATGTATCCCCATGTCTATATTCCTAGCATCTGTTGGCCATGAAAATTCAAACGTACACATAGGCATCGTCCTCCATGACCTATGATAACTTTGGAAGAAAATAGTACCATTGAAATAATAATTAGTAATAAGTAATAATTTGAATTATTCTTCTGGTAACAGATTCGATAATACGGAGAACCTTCAACCTTGACAAAATGGTAATAGGTATCCGTCAGTTTTGGGTTGGGTGATCAAAAATATTAATTTTCGAGGGTTTCAGGTTAGGGATGATTAAGAGGAGACGGGTTTTTTGGAATATCCATATATAAGCATATTGCTAAGGCAATTGTACATAGTTTTAAAGGATCTCTCTCATCTTCGCTTTAATGATCAGATGGCCATCTACCTTAGTCCAAACAAAAAAATATTTTAGAAATGGTTCTAATATAGATATATACTAGTGCGCACCTCGTGCAAAGCACGGCCCCCTATATTTTTAAACACTGTATTTTAAATTTGCCTTCCTCTAAGTTTTAATACATTTGATTTAATTATTGTATGCTTAAAATTAGAATCATATCTACTCCTCTATACTTAAAAAAGAATCCAAATTTTAATACATTTGATTTAGAAATCATATATACTCCTCTATAGTTAAAGAATGATGCAAGTTTTAATACATTTTATTTGTTTTACTGTTTATGATACAATAAGTTATTGTAGTGCGAATAGTAACTTTAAGTATAAATGGGCAGATTTAATTTATTATTTATGCTATAGTAATCCTTTGGATTCTCCATTAACTACAGAAGAGTAGATACACGGAATATGAAGCATGGAAGTTATGCTTTAATTAATTTTATTGTCATCCTAAAAGTAATGAAATTTCACTATTTATTAATGGTATTAATTTGGTTAAACAAATTGGATATATTCGGGGTTAATTGTTTTGGTTTGAAACATTGATCATCTTACAAGTATTTGAAACTAATATTTTAAAAAGGGTAGATTACACTAAACCCAAACTAATATTTTAAAAAGTGTTGATTACACTAAACCCTCAATAACTTTCAGCATTTTGGGGCAAACCCCCAATAACTTTCAAAATCACACTAAATCCCCCAATAAATTTTGCAAAACAAACCCCGACATCTTTTGGATAAATTACAATGAACCCTCAATAACTTTCAAAATGCTTTTTCCTCTAATTTATAGGGGTTATCAGTAAAATGCAGAAGCTTATTGGGCCTACTCTACAAAGTATAAGAGTTATTAGGGTTTTAGTACGAGTTTAAAAGTTATTGGGGGTTTACTGAAAAACACTAAAAGTTCTTGTGGATTTAGTGCAATTTATCCTTTTAAAAACATGATCATCTAATTATATTAGAGAAAAGCAAATTTGAAGAATGAAGAATGCGTACAGATACAAAGAGGGTTTAACAAACCTGTTCTTTTTTCATTTCTTCTATCTCCCTTGTTAACTATTTCCTTGCACACAAACATAAGAAATAAAAAACAGTAAGTCAGACAAAAAGTAGGAATTGTATCAAATAGTAGACAAAAGTAGGAATTGTATCAAATAGTATTTATTGGAGATTTAAAGTATTTTTAGGCCAAGAAACGAGACTATCAAATACACTTATAAAAAGTAGTGGTAAAGATGCAATTTTCTTGATGCCTTCATTTTTTATACCCAATCAAGGTTTGAGGGATGTCACCTTCTTTCACCAATTCAAAATTAATTTCAAAAGCATGTCCCTTATGTTTAAATCCTAATTTCTATCATTAATTAGAAGAAGAATAAGTATCCTATAGAACCACTCCGATAGGATTGGGATAGTTTGTACCATAGATATGAGAGAGAAAATTTTCAAACTAACCCCTAACCATCCGTAAATGATATTGATCACCCTATTTTATAGGGGTGTTCTAATAGAATCTGCATTCAAGAAGAAGAGATTGAGCTCTTCACTTAAAAAGAGTTACTTGGATTGATACTCATTGAATGTTCAAACCTATACTTTAATTGCGCATATGGCTGGTCCTATAATTAAATACTAATTGGCTCGATAATCACTTCTAATTTTTTTTCTATCAATTGACATAACATATTTCTCTGATGTAACATAAAAATGTCTTGATCATTTGACAGATTGAATTTCTTCTTGTTTGTAATATCTTGATCACTTATGAAAATAAAACTTAATTGCTATATCGGGCACTTGTATTGGGTAATTATATTGCATTTGATTTTTTTTTTATATAGAAATATTTAACTTGTCACTTGTTGAATAAGTTGTATTGGTTAAAAACAAATAAAAATATACAACTCAAAGTGACAAAAAGCATTACAAAGTGACTAACGATCTCACTAGTATTTAATCACATGAGCGGTCATTCAAGCATTTAAAATACATATATGAACATCCAATAAGAGATAAATATAGTGACCTACGATCCAATTAATCACAAAAAAGATATATTTTTCCTTAATCTGGATATTTTTAAAAATGTCCTTTACGTTAAACATAATACTAAAGATGTTTAATTTACTTAAATAAATACCTGTATTTAAATCTGTGCTTATCTATTTAGATATCGCTTAATTTAGCACTATTCATAATCATATCCACACTAACCTTCATCTTAAGTACAGACTCAAAGCAGCTTTAAAATCTAAATAAGCATCAATATTACACATCATTAAATATTAATATAGCAAAAAAATGTAGATGCGCAATGTAGAAGGCATGAAAAAGGATGAAGATTTGTGTATAAGCCAACACTTCTTACCGTTTTAACACGCAAACTCCATCCCCATCTTTGCCCAAATCCCTCAAGCACTATAGGAGACCATTAAAAATGTTTAATAACCAGTAAATATAATATAATATATGGAATTAATACCTTTTATTTGCTTTTCTCATATCTTCAGATATACTGACATGAACTTCGTCGAAAAGGACTCACTGGTTCAGGGGAAGAGAGAAGAGGCACAGACTGATTATTTTGAGTGTTAGTTGATGAGTTGAAAGAAAATCGGAACAAAGTAAAAAGAGTTCGTTGAGAATGAGAGATTCTAGGAGATAATTTCTATGTTAATTGTACTGAATTTTTTGTCAATTTTAACTTTCAACCATAAGCATTATCTGTTTAGTATTTTAGTAAATTTTGACGATTTTGGCTAATATGTACACATTCAGATTTTATCTTGAGCTGATATAGATGCTTGTTTATATGATTTTTACTCAGAAAAATATTTGTATTTGTCATTATTTTCTTACTGGTAAATTTCTTACAGGGTTATAAGATAAGCTGCTAAATTTTATGGATAAGCATCAAATTTGATCTTTCTTTCTTAATACTTCTCGGATTAATCACAATTTTGATCTTTCTTTCTTAATACTTCTCAGATTAATCACAAATATGAACCAGAATTACTCTATGCTGATTGCTGTATTTCTCATAAGAAGCTATGGTATCATACGATTACAATTACTAACACTAGAAAGTCTAAATTTAGTGATAAAACAAATGCAATTTTTCCCCAAGTTTTAGACTTACTTTCTTACTTAACTTTCTTAATTCTTACCTGCAGACAAAAAAAAAAGGATAAATTACAGGATTGGTACATTTAATTGCCACCATTTACCAATAACATAGATATTTAGTTACATCGGCAACAAATAAGGTATTAATACTTATTCAATTTTAGATAAAATCTCTCGTCGATCAGATTTACGCGCCAAAGTCACAAGTGTTCGCATGTAATTCGGTTTAAACGGTTAAAATAATGATGTGACAAAGAGTTAGGCAGGATAAAAAAAATAGCCCTAAAGTTTCAAATTGAAACCTAAAAGCCATCTTAATGTCAACTTTAAATAGGTTTTAGTAACTCATTTTTACTATTACAGGTAGATATACCTTATGGGTAAAAGGTGACAACTAAATATACAAACCTGGTAATTTATGCGACATGAAAATATCAATTAGTTAAGCACTTGATAAGCAGGGCATTTTATAGTGGCTTTCTCATCAAGTCCTTAATGTTCCACGCGTAAAAGATCATCTTAGGAGCTAAAGCAAGCATATAAAGTTAACTTTCGTTTCTGTATCATTCCATAGTTAATCACAGTTTTTCTTTCTTTTTTGGTATTAAATACGTTATAGAAGCATAAATAAAGGGTTTCTTTGAAATCGGAACGGTTTTTTCAGAAAGACAAAAATAAAAAGATTCTCTGATCTGAATAGAGAAGACAAGTGATTTTATCGCATACGCGTACGATGATGGAACTTCAATATAAGAGGAATATGAGTACGCTCGGTATTAATTTGGTCATTGATAGTAGGGGTGGCAATTTATGACCCGACCCGTTAACCCGACCCGACCCGACCCATTTATAATGGGTACGGGTCAAATTATATGGGTCGGGTCATAAACGGGTCAACCCAAATTTACCCATTTATTAAATGGGTCAATTCGGGTTGACCTATTGACCCGTATAGCAAAATTCCCGACCCAAATTTACCCATTCTATTCCGCCGCTCCAGAGAAAGAAAAAAAAAAGAACGCAGAGAGAAAGAAAGCCCTAGTTCTTCTCACTCCATCACTCCATCGATTCCTCCTCCCCAAAAACAAAAAGCTCGAGCGGTGAGCGGCTAACGGCGATCGGCGGCAAGCGGCAGCGAACGGCGAGCGGCGGCAAACGGCGAGCGGCAGTGATCGGCTAACGGCGCTCGAGTTCTCCTCACTCCATCGATTCCTCCTCCCTCTCTCCAATCGAACTCAGTTCCTCTTGAACAGAAGAATCGGATCTTCAATCGAGCTAATCACTGGATTTTGAGGTACACTCTTAGCTAGGGCTTTTTGATCTTGCGTTTTATCAATTTTGGGGTTTTTTTTCATCCTTGTAAGCTGAGGGTCCTTTCATGGGATTACAATCTGAACTTACAGAGCAATTTTTTTTATCCCTTAAAAGCAATTTAAAAATTTACCGGTCTGTGAGACTTCAATTTGGATTGCTTTATTAGCAGGTCCAAGGTTCATTCCGCTGCACTGATACCTTTAAATTGTGGTAAGGGTTCGTGATTGTAATCTTTCACTCTAATATTTAAAGTCAATGATTGAAACACAGTTGAAGAAAAATCATTTATGTAATGATCCCGAACTAAGCATAGCCGCCACAGTGTGTATTTTAAGGCCACAATTCAGTGGTACACTTGCTAGCTACCTCACTTAGAATACTTGTCCACCAAGAATCATTGACCAATTTCAAATTCTTGACTTTAAGTGCAAGTTTGGTTGGATGTGGGGTCTCAGAAGAACAACATAGAGAATGATTTACCAATATCACAGATGCGCCCAAAATTACTTGGTTTCATGATTCTGATGTATTTTATAGCATATCCTTGTATTTTATAAAAATGAGGATTTCCATGTAAAATAACATCCCAAGTTTGCTCGCCAAGTTTAACTCCCTTCTCCCTGTTCTTCAAGTTTTAACTCCAATAAACAAATAACAGAACCTTGGCTTCATCTCTAATCCTCCCTGGCTTCAACCATCTTATCGATAAATCTCTTTTGCATATCAAGCTGCACCATAATCTTCAGTACTAGTGATCAGAACTAGTTCAAATTTATACTGTAGATGTCTTTTGTAAACATTTTACAGTTATAAATGATTATCTATTCCATGCCTTTTATTTTTCTCTCATTTGACATACAAACTGATTATGATGAATGTGGTAATTTATTCCTCGTGTTTAGGCATTAACTATCTATATGATGAATTTTCTACCCTTAGGTTGATAGTGAGATGTATAATTTGTAATGCTTTATGACTTTGTAAAGAGAACAGTCGTTTATAGTTTCTTGTCAGCTTCTTTTCTACTACTTAACTTAGTTTCTCTAACTTACCTAGTAGCACTTAGAAAATTCACTGCAATTACCTAGTATGAATCTCTCATACTATGATGCGGTAGCTGAAGGTAAGAACCTACTAGCTGTTTTAACTTGTAATGCATGTCGTTTTAACTTGGGCATCAAGAGAGGTTTTGCTCTTTATTTTATATATCATGCTAGTTTTGTGACAAATACAGAAAACATTCATCTGAAAATGCAACATTTGCTGATTGATGCTTACATCATTGTCATGAAATAATTCCAATAATCAACAAACACCTTGCCTTCTCCAAATATGGCCATCAAACGATACACAAGATTGCTACTGTGGAGTGGGGCTGAAAGTTTAACAAAGAGAAGGCAATCTTTTTAGGGATTATAAAGCTAGCAACATTATCTTTTGCTTCTCTAGTCACCAATCAACTCTCTTTCATTAAAGAGGAGAACAGCAAAAAAGTGAGAGAGATCAAAGGGATCCCTATGTTTGTGGACTGTGTTAATAATGCATAGAGAGGCTTGTTATTTCCTTAGTATATATCTCAGCAGGTCATCCACTATGTAGCCTAGGAATAGAGATTAATTTTCATGGAACTTGTGTTTATTTAAGTTATTGGGGGGAAAGGTATGTATATTTTAAGGAATCTATTGAGAGAAAGATCACGCAGTACCGCTATATATAGTACGAAATACGAGATAATAAGTAAACTACAAATACAAATATACTAAACTGGGTAACTTATTCCTTTACATGTTATTGTATAATCTTTACTCTTATAAGAATTTTCAGGTTTTCATTGGCTCCTCAATTTAGATTTTCAGGTCAGGTCAAATTTACTAGATACATTTTTTTATTTAATTTGTTACCCATACTTGCATCTAGATTTTGAATATCTTCATGATTTGAAATTTTGAATAGAGGTGAGCGAACTTTCGTATATAGTCAAGAGTATTAACAGGTAAGTTACAACCTTGTTGGACTCATTTAATGAGTGTGCTTGTCACTATGTCATGGCTGCAGAAATAATTTGGTAATGTCTCGAATTCAACTTTTTTTGATTATTTATTCGGATAATAGGTGAGGTTGGGTGTTCGTAATGTTGCTTTTGTGGATTAATATCAGTATCTTTGATCTGATGTGTATGACTATTGGATTTCCATTCATGTTGGTTTTTTTTAAAGGTGAGGTTTTTTAAGGTGAGGTTTTAACCTTTTGGATTCAAGAGGTGGGTTTCTCTAGTACGGATGTTTTGTACATGATACATTGTAAATTTTTTTGGGCTAAATTATCAAATTGGCATTTTGGCAGGAGTCTATTCAAATTATGGTAATTGTTCTTTCACAAGTGATATTATGGTATTAATATTGAGACTAATACCAATCTATTAAAATCCTGTTGCTTTTTTCTGTGTGCAGGCCACATTTGATTGCCTCATGAAGACTTATGGGTTCCTGGCACCAGACTGCAAAGAGTACATGAATATACTGCAAAGAGTTAAAGAAGAGAGGGAACTAAAATAAATGCGGAAAAGAAGGATAACTACATGCTATATTATTGTATAATGTCTACATATGTTTTCCTTTACTGATCTTCATTGCTTATTGCGGTAGGAAACCCCCTCGACCAATATTTCCAGGTCCTTGTGAAGACATTTTTCCTTGCGACATGATTTGGGACCGTCCAGGGCCTTGAACAAATGATGTATTTTTGTTTGTCGATATTTGCAATTTGTTGAAATACATTTAAATACTGAATATGTCTTTGAAATAACTCCATATTGTGAGTAGTGATAGTTTTTGTCTAAAGAGCTTGCAAGAAGTGTTTTTTTGTGCTTGTATAAAAAATTTTATTAGTTATATGTGTTAGTATATGTCTTGTATTAGATAAATGGGTTATTCGGGTTATATGGGTCGGGTCGGGTAACCCGTTTAATAATCGGGTCGGATCACATTGACCCATTTATTAAACGGGTCGGGTCGGGTCACACTTATATGGGTCGGGTTAAATTTTATATGGGTCGGGTCGGGTCGGGTCGACCCGTTTGCCACCCCTAATTGATAGTAACGTGGCCACTACTCATCACACTCATTACACATCAAATCATATAACCCACATCCGTATAATCTCCATCATTCATTAATGGAGAATACCTCCAAATAGTGCCATATGCCTGAAAGCCTTCAAAAACATTGCAGCTCTATAATTTAATCTCTTAATTTACCATCAAAAAGGGGAACTACAATGGTGAGTTATCAGCTTGATCTCCATAGCTCAAGTTTTCAGCAACTACAGCGCCAACACTTGCGACTTGTGATCTATCCCGTTGAATATGAACGTCCCGGCTAAAGGCACAAACTGTTTCGTGGTGAGCTGAAACAAACAACATGAGAATCTAGACAGGAAGTTTCAGAAGAAAAATATAAATTTAACTTTTAAAAATACAATACAGAGTTTACAGGAATGAGACAAAACCCTTACCCTAATGATTTTCATTTTCTAGCTAAAATAATCATCCCATTTTATGTAATTACCAATCTTCGAGATAATAACTATGTACGTACGATTATACGGACGTACATATAATTCTCGTATCCTATGATCATAGCTTTTGTGTCCGAGTTAATTTTGTAGAAATTGTAATGGAGAGGGTCGAACTGTCACAATTGACCTATGATCATAGTTTTTGTATGCAAGTTAATTTTCTAGAAATTGTAATGGAGAAGGGTCTAACTGTCACAATTGAAACCTTATGGAAATTTTGTGTTAATTATGCAAACCTTATGTCAAAGCTTTGTCACTTTCAGAAGTTAATTAAACAATATACCTTAATTACTTCCTGAGAAGCAACACCCCCTACAAAGGCAGCAACAGCATGGACCTCTGCAGCTCCAAATCTACACATCTCATTGATTAAATCCTCTGACAATGTGGGCCCATGGAAACCCGAGTCGCTTAATATGCCAATTGCAATGGTCTTCAGTCTTGTTACATCTTCATCTATTTCACTGTTCCATATACAAAGTTTTAGCATGATTGTCATGTAGATGCACAAAAGAGAAGTGAAAGGTTTTTTTTTTTCATCTATACCCATCAAATGCTCCCGGAAATCTATTGTAATTAGCAGCAAACCGATCAACAGCTCGAAGAAGAATATAGAAGCCAACAGCAACACTGAAAAATACAAACAGCAAGCCTCTGGCATCATTCTTGCTAAAACTGTTGATGTCACAGAAACTATATGCCTTTAGTGCCTATATTATTTTGCTTATAAGCTACTCCTCATGTCATCACTTTATATATGTGGTAATTCCTATTTTTCTCCTCATCTAGAATCTCCTGACACCATAAAGGAATCACAGAGAGCTCCTGCAAAAGCAATGATGGAAAATGAAAGAGGCATTACAAAGTCCTAAAGATTTCCTCCTTGCTTTCAGATACATACTCTTCAAGATTCTTTGATAAGAATCATCATCTCTATGTGCTCAAGGCTCAGGTAAGGAGATCTAACTAAATTCAAGGAGGAACTTATAAATTCCCTAAATATTATTTGAATACATATGAAGATCAAGTTTTTACGTGTTCAAAGGAAATTCATAGGCTATCAAGTACAATCTACAGAAAAAACTGTCTCATAAGGACATAGAAGTTGAATCTATGGAAATTGATGAGAATTCTGTCCCTTTTTATTAAATCGGTTAATGAACCAATAAAACTTATTCATATGTTCAGATGTTTTGCCTGAGAGGTAGTTAGAGATGGTTGTTTCTCCTCATTATTGACGTTAAGTGGATGGAAAAAAATGGAAAGAGGAGGAAAATAAGACGGAAAACAACAACAATTTTTATGCATTCATTGTGCAGGATAGTTTTGGAATTTAAATTGCGCAAGTTATGTTGATTTGGGAAATAATCGGTAAAGATCGTCTTTCCATATCAGTTAATCAAACTAACAGAAGGAGTTCAATGCAAGCCTTCTAGGAAACAAATTGATGATATGAAAATAAATATATAACTATGAGTTTTGCATTATAGTCAAATACAAGGAGTGATTTGATAAAATAGTAAAATCCTGAATAAGAAAGGGGTGTGATGAATGAATAATGTAACAAGAAAATAAATATCTTGCATGGTATAATATAAACCTTGCTGAGACGACCACAAATTGCATATTACAGACACAAGACACTCACCTGGAATCTTCATCAGCCAAATACTTCTGTAGTTCTGGAAGAATTGGAGACTTAAACTCATCCTCAATGCAGCGGTACCTACGCACCTGTATTGTCATATCATAAAATGTTAAAAGAGTTTTGTGTCATATTTGACAGTTAACAATTTGATTTACATTTATGTACAATGCACATAATCAAAGTAGCAGAAAACAAAGGATATAAACAAGTAAACCACATAATAGTTATGTCTAACATTTCTGCCAAAAAAACTCCCTCGTCATTATCTAATTATTTATAGCTACTTGAATATTGTGACTGAACCCGAGTGTGATGTAAAAGAAGAGGACTTTGCCACTCTTTCAATCTAAAGGACAGAAGACTAGTATAGAATACAACAATGGATCAGCTTTATCCTCACAGAATATTTTGGGACTGAGGAGTTGATGGGGAGACCACAATACAATAACACCATATGGTATTGACCAGGGAAAATGGGACCATCATATTTCAGAACATGTTTCAATAAAATGTTTCGAGATGCAATCAGGAGACTGGGATTATGCAGCAGTTCTTATACTGCTCATAGATTAATACCAACGTGCATAGCAATCAATAATCTGTACACATATATTACCGTGGAAGACCTACCGAATCATGGAAAGAGAAAAGGCCAACAACTTTCAAGTGGCACTGCTCTAGTCAGCTGAAGACAAAGTAGCAGTATACGGCACCCCCCCTGGTGCATGACAGAGGTTGGTTAACAGCGAAATATCAGAAAGGATCTAAATTCCACCAGCTACTACGGCTATAACATCGGATAGATCATTAAAACTTGTATCAGCAGATTATCTAAAACAGGTATGGATTCTCAAAGGTATGACTTTAATCCAATGTCAAGAAGAGAAACTAGGAAGAAAGATCAGAAAGAAACTCTGTAAAACTTCCATTGGAACACAAGCCTCAGTTTGTATAGGTTTAGGAGAGAGAGTCATAAATGAGAATACTACAAAGCGAAAATACACATTTTGTATGAGAAATACTTGCACTCTAATGTCTGTCAAAAATCTTCTACAATAAACTACTGCAATATACAATAACATAAACTTAATAAACTACAGAGGAATTAAATAGCAATAAACTCAAGAAGAAACCACAACCTGCATAGGGCATATAAAGAAAGTCATACAGGAATTGTTAAAACTGGTTCCTCTATGATGTAACTCATGAACAAACTAACATGAAAAGGCAAATTAGTGACTTACGGTAAGCTTTCTAGCATTTTTACAGAAGTTCCTAATAGTTGCCTTTGAAATAGCACAATGATCTCTACCAACTCTCTTCAATATAGTCCTTACACGTTGCTCTACTGCAAGACAATCGGACTCCGCCTTAGCTTGGTAGATCTTCTGAAGACTGACATAATATCTTTAACAGAAAGAAACGGTAGACATCTTGATCAGAAATACAGCAGAAGTGGAAATAAGTAAATAAAATTTTCGAGCCTCCTCAACTTTAAAGTTAGTCACTCACTCAGTTAAGGATGTCATGTCAGGTATTGATCCCTCAAGAGGTGGCTCTCCGTCGCCTTCATTTTCAACAAATTCCTATAAAGAAAAATGAAAAAGAAAGTATGTGATTGTAAAGCCATTGCCATGTAACTTAATGGACCTATTTTTGCCACAAAAAAAAGGAAAAACAAACGATGACAAATAAAAAATGCAGAGTGCAGGATCAATAAATATGTAGGCTTCATGATGAGCACGGGATACCAGAAGATACCAGAAGCTTTAATTGTAAGCAAAATGTACACAATTCTTTTCTTCCTTTTACAGAGGAAAAGCATTGGGTCAAGGAAAGGATGACGGGGTGGTCACTCAGTGTAATTTAACTGTTCATATTATAATTTAAACAAACGTAACCAGTATAAACATAATTAAGAGATGAAAACTATATCAGCATAAACAATTTTTTTTAATAGGTCACTGAAAAATCTCAAAAACTAACAAACGGGAGGAGAAACTTCAAAAAAAAATATGTGTTATTTAACAATATCTGGAAAAAATAGAGACCAGGCTTTTTTCACCAGGAGACCAATGGACAATTACTGAACAGTGTCTAAAGCAGTGCATAACCATCAGCCGAAGAAGTAAACCTCCGGTTACAGGAAATCCAGCTGCTCAAAAGTTCAGGAAAGAAATAAATAAATGGTGTTGTAGTTATCATAAGTTATAGTAAGAGCCAATATAATTTGTTTACATGAAAGCACTGTTATTTTTTTAATCATATATAACAGTTTGTTTACCTTCAAAGCTGCAACCATAACCCAAAAATCTGATGATGTCAACTCAACCTCAGCTGCACTATCATTAATTACTTGACGAAGCTGAGAACCTGATATACAAGAACGACCCTAATGTAACCCCACAAAAAACAATGAACTAAGTATATAAATGTTAACTAAAATGGCAAATCAATGTATTATCTAATTCAGACGAGCATCTTAATTCAAAAGGATTCTGAGGGCAGAAAATGCAAGATGAAGGTATGGGCAGCATAAATGTAAGTTCTCTAACAACAAACTAGCAAATTAGATTTAATGGAAACTGGCAGTGGCAAGTCCTTCTATGTGCATTGTTTCCTTGGATAGCATTTGGCACCAAAACCCAGTGCGTGGACATCGGATTGACACAGTACAGAATAGCATAGCATACAAGGCTTTGATGATTATATGATCATGATTTAATTCAAAAGGATTTCTGTTATATACATCTACTCATTTAAGCATATACCTATGCCTGATGATCACTGTGAGGCAGCTAGAAAATACTTACTATCATAACAGAAATTTCAGAATTAGCCAGAGATTCAAGCATTGAAGGTTGAAATCTGTTAAGTTAAATATTGGGTATTGGGTTAATGGGCTGTTACCCGTTAACCTTAATCCTATTTGTATGGCTATATATATCTCTCTTGTTATTCTCAATAAACTATTAGGGTTTTCTCTATTCTCTACATGATATCAGAGCATGAAAACGCCGCCGCCCGCTGCTACAGTAACATCGCCTGCTGCTACAGTACCATCACCTGCTGCCTGCTGCTACAGTGACGCCGCTGCTACAGTGCCGTACTACAATGCCCCCTACATCGTGTTGCCTATTCCCTCGCCATCTCGGTCTTCGAACTGATGAGAGGACAATTGTATCCCTCGACATTTCAGTCATAGAACTGATGAGAGGAAGCCTCGACATTTCAGTCATAGAACTGATGAGAGGAAGAGTGTCTATCTCACGTTGTTGAGATATTTTACTTTTATTCTTGTTTCCTTCGAGAAACAAGAATATAGAAATTGAGCCTTTGTGCAAACAAAAGCCAGGGCTCTCTCCCTCACGTGATCTCGCCTACGCAGCGTGAGGGCATGACTATCTACGACTCTGCCTCTAATCCTGCTCCTGATTTGCTCTTAGTTCATGTTTCGAAAACGGATCTCTACTACTAATCTGCCTATTTGACTACTATTTGTCTCCTATTGTTGCTCAAAAATAAAAATGACTACTACTTCGATGTCGGACATCTCCTCCTCTACTACTCCTTCTATTGTTGCTGGTGAGACCTCTGCGCCTAAGGTAGTCTTGGGGACTACTATTAAATTGAATGGTGCAAACTATCTGCTCTGGGCACAAGCTTTCCGCATCTTCATTGGCGCTCAGAGCAAACTACCACATCTTCTTGCATCTCCACCACCAACCTCAGATCCCACCTACAATTCATAGCTCTCATCTGATTATTGTGTTATGACTTGGCTTCTCAACAGTATGAAAGCACAGATCAGTAGCAGCGTTATGTTTTTAAACACTGCGAAGGAGATGTGGGACAGCCTAAAGATTATGTACGGAAACGAGAAGAATGTTTCTCGCGTATTTGAAATTTATGAACGATTGTTTGCGCTCAAACAGGGAGATAAGTCAGTTCTGAAATTCTTTGGTGAATTAAAGGGACTGATAGACGAACTAGAGATGCATCAGCCTGCAGTAGCTGATGCAGCGACGCTATTAGGGTATCGTCGTGATCTGGCAGTATCCAAATTTCTTTCTGGATTGAACTCTAATTTACAGTCCCAGGTGAGAGGACAGATATTGGGTGGAGATACAATTCCCTCACTGACTGCTACATTCTCCAGAGTCATGCAGGTCTCTACTGATGTTACTTCTGATACTACTACACCATCTCCACCTACGATGGATCAGTCTGCCATGTTCTCTAATCGAGGCAAAGGTCGCGGTCGTGGTCGTGGTCGTGGCCGTGATTCAGGGGGAGAACGTGGTTCCTTTGGTGGGAGGCAAGATGAATCTCATAAGGGCTCACGACATTGTGGTTATTGTGGGAGAACCAATCATATTTCTGAGAAGTGCTGGGAGAAGTTTGGTCGTCCTCAGTGGGCTCAGGTAGCTGATACAGAATCGACTAACTCATCTATTTCTGCTACTACTTCTGGTGGACCAGCTGTTACTGCTCCTACTGTTCAGATTTCTCAGGCAGATTATGAGAGGTTGCGCCAGGCTCCAGCTAGAACTCTCTCAGAATATTCATTCTGCTACTCATGCATCCTCTTCAGGTATGGATGCTTATATAGCTTCTTCTCACAAACCCTGGGTACTAGATTCTGGAGCCTCATCTCATATGACAGGTATAAAGGATCACTTTGTATCTTTACATCTTTCTGATAAGTTTCCTTCTATCCGCATTGCTGATGGTACTCTTTCTCCAGTTCGTGGTGATGGAGTAGTTCATGCTACTTCCTCTTTAAAACTAACTGATGTGTTATATGTTCCCAAATTCCCTGTTAGCCTATTATCCATTAGCAAGTTTACAAAACAAAATAATTGTAAAGTCACCTTCTTTCCATCTTATTGTGTTTTTCAGGACCTAGCAACTGGGATAAAGATTGGTTCGGGGCATGAGAAAGGAGGTATGTACTATTTGGACGACAGTGTGCCAGAAGCTGGTCTTATTGCATCACAGTCTGACTCTACTTTATTGTGGCACTGACGTCTGGGTCATCCTTCACTACAAAAACTTAGATCGGTAGTTTCTGTTCAGCCATCTATTTCCTCTTTAGGTTGTGAGTCGTATGAACTGGGTAAGCATCATCGTGCTACTTTTCAGAGTCGAGTTGATAAACGTAGTAGTTTTGCTTTTGAGTTGGTTCATTCTGATGTCTGGGGTCCTTATCGTGTTCCCTCTATGCAAGGTTTTCGATATTTTATTATCTTTGTTGATGATTTCTCTCGCATGACGTGGCTTTATCTGTTAAAAGAGAGGTCAGAGGTCTCGCGCGTTATTGAACTCTTTTATAATGAAATAAAAACTCAATTCTCTACTTCTGTTCGTATTCTTCGTACTGATAATGCTTTGGAATATATGAAAAGTGATGTTTCAAAATTTTGTGCTCTTAATGGCATTATTCATCAGACTTCTTGCTCTCACACTTCACAATAAAATAGAGTTGCTGAAAGGAAGCATAGACATATTCTAGATGTTGCTAGAACACTGATGATACATATGAATATTCCAAAGTATTTGTGGTCTGATGCTGTTCTCACTGCAAATTATTTGATTAATCACATGCCTTCCTCTGTCCTTGATGGTTTAATACCATTCAATTGTCTTTATCCTGATAAAAAACAATTCTCTGTGATTCCCCGTGTCTTTGGTTCTACGTGTTTTGTTCAGGATTTAACTACTGGTTTGGATAAGTTGTCATCTAGATCCATCAAATGTGTTTTTGTTGGATACTCGTACTCAAAAAGGATATAGATGTTATCATCTGTCTACCAGGAAATATTTTGTGTCTGCTGATGTTACCTTTTTTTAGTATGTCCCATATTTTTCGTCTGGTTCCATTACTATTGGCTGTCCACAGGTACCACTACCTTCTTCTGCTCCTACTACTATTCCATTACCTGCTCCTGTCGCTCCTGCACCGAAGCCTCTACTGACATACTCTCGCCGTCCAAAAGTACATGCCCCTGAATCTGCTACTGCTGACCTCTATTTCTTCTGACTTGGATATCCCTATTGCTCTTCGAAAAGGTAAACGGTCTTGCCCGAAATATCCTATATCTCTTTTTGTCTCTTATGACCGTCTCAACCCATCTTTTCGTCAGTTTGCCTTGTCCTTGTCCACTGTATCTATACCTAGGTCATATGAGGAAGCTATGTTAGTACCAGCTTGGAAGCAAGCCATGGATGAGGAAATGAATGCACTACTTTTTAGAGGGACTTGAGACTTGGTTTCTCTTCCTACTAGAGCGACTGTGATTGGTTGCAGATGGGTGTATATCCTAAAATATCGCCCCAATGGGTCTGTTGACCGTTATAAAGCTCGCCTGATTGCGAAAGGCTATACCCAGACATATGGCGTCGACTATTTTGAAACCTTTTCTCCCGTTGCTCGTCTCAACTCCATCAGAATTATTTTCTCTCTGGCTGTTAATATGGATTGGGCGATGCACCAACTAGATGTGAAGAATGCTTTCCTTTATGGTGATTTGGACGAGGAGGTTTATATGGAGCAACCTCCTGGGTATGTTGCTCAGGGGGAGAATATTATCTGCAGGCTGAGAAAGGCCATTTATGGGTTAAAGCAGAGTCCTCGAGCTTGGTTTGATAAGTTCAACAAGGTTATTTCTAATGTTGGTTTCCAACGTTGTCAATCTGATCACTCTGTCTTTCTTCGACGCACAACAACTGGTTTGGTTATTTTAGCCGTATATGTTGATGATATTCTGCTGACTGGGAGTGACTCTATTGTCTTAACTGAGACTAAGGAGTATCTAAACCGTCATTTTATCACTAAGGACATGGGAAAGCCAAAGTATTTTCTTGGGATTGAAGTTGCATATCAAAAACATGGTCTGTTGTTGTCCCAAAGGAAGTATGTGCTAAATTTACTAGAAGAAGCAGGTTTCTTGGAATGCAAACCCGCAAGCACTCCAATGAAAGTAAATATTGATTTGTGACGTGATGATACCTCTCTCCTAGATGATGTTGGACGATATAGGAGACTAATTGAGAAGCTAATATATTTGACAGTTACCAGACCTGATATTACTTTTGCAGTAGGTGTATTGAGCAGGTTTATGGACAAACCTAGAGAGGTTCATTGGACAGCAACTCTGAAGATTTTAGCATATGTCAAGAGTTGCCCTGGCAAAGGATTGTTATATAAGAAGCATAGGCATACTCATATTTTGGCTTTCTCTGATGCTGGCTACGCAGGAGACATGGGAGACCGGAAGTCAACCTCAGGATTTTGTACTTTTGTTGGAGGTAATCTTGTGACTTGGAGAAGCAAGAAACAAGATGTAGTATCACGATCTAGTGCAGAGGCCGAATATAGAGCAATGGCTCACACTACTTGTGAGATGGTGTGGCTAAGAAAGTTTATGACAGAGCTTGATTTTGTTCAGCCTTGACCCATGCCAATGCATTGTGATAACCAGTCTGCCATTTATATTGCACAGAATCCTGTGTTTCATGAGAGGACAAAACATATTAAAGTTGACTGCAATTTTGTCAGAGATGCTTGGGAGAAGAAGATAGTATCTCTCATATTCACTCCGTCCTCACAACAACTTGCTGATATTCTTACCAAGGCAGCTTCTTCAAAGGTGTTCTCTACTATATGTGACAAGCTGGGCATGGTAGACATCTATGCTCCAGCTTGAGGGGGAGTGTTAAGTTAAATATTGGGTATTGGGTTAATGGGCTGTTACCCGTTAACATTAACCCTATTTGTATGGCTATATATATCTCTCTTGTTATTCTCAATAAACTATTAGGGTTTTCTCTATTCTCTACAAAATCAAATAAGAAATTTAGAAGGATAATGTAACTGTATATACAGAAAGGCTACATGGTTAGCTACACAGGACTATCCCTGACTGGACCATTTTCCATCTCGTTTGAAAGAAACTAATATTAATCGGAAAAATCATGGCTAACTAGTCATCGACAAAGACAAAAAAGTAGGTCTGGAGATAAAACAACAAAATTTATCACTCTATCGTTGAAACCCAATAAAAAGAAAAAACCCACCCCACAAAATGCTAATGTTAGAAATGGAATTTACTTTAACAACTTACTGATTCCCCGAGCTGCTGAGACTTTAAATGAGGCTTCAATGGCTTCTTTATAGTTTTCTTCATCTAAGTTAAGCATGTGAGCTTTTATTTCATCCTGTTAAATATATGCACAGAATTAGACAATAGGCATTGTGAAACATGTTGATTTGAGTATGCAAATTGCCATACCTTGAACTCCTTTTTCTCCTGCCTGGTTGATGGTAAGCAGCCACCATGTGCTTGGGCCCATTTTTCTGCAAGCCTAATAAGAATGACTATGTATGGTGTATGCTTGTGTACAACAGGGTCTTTCACATTCAGGTCAATGTTGTTAGCAAACCTGTAGAAAATCTGAAAATTCATATAATGCCACAGTAACATAACTATGCACACTTCACATTGCACCATGACACATACATCATTGTCATTATCCATAGATCCAGTATAAAAGGAATGTGTTACTTACTCTTTAAGCTCAGGCCACGGACAGTGAAGGCGCAGGTCATCTAGAAAATGGTCAGGTTTTGACTCCACAACAGTATGCTCCTGTAAGTTAACAACAATTGCATGTATAGAATTCTGTTCCTTTTTCTTCTGGACGGCTTTTACCTTATAAGTTTCATACTAGCGTTGTGGATACTGAAAGAAATACCTTTAAACTTATTCGAACCAACCCAGTAAGACCATATGAGCGTGCAACTACCAGCATAACATTTGCTTGCCTACAGATCTTATCCAGCTTTAATAATGAATTTTCCAATAACTGCCATGCCAAGGGTATAATGACAAATTAGCATTAAAGGATAAGTAGATAATCAAACCATGAGTAAAAGTTTATAGTTTATTTCAGTAGATATGGTGTTTGGTTCAAATAGTAAATGACAAATGAGTATATGTAAGGAAGTGAACAGAGTAACATGCTTTTCAACTTTCACATAGACATCTGCCAATAAGATATGATGTGGCTTACCTGCGTGGCAATTACTAAAGTAAACTGTGAAAAGAAAGAAGGTGTTGATTCTATTAAGGTTTCTGGTGACTCTTCAACGAACTTAGCCTTAACAGCATCATTTAGCTCTTGGAGAAAAGCACATACACATTTTGCTTTTGATTGTCCCAGACTTTTTTCATCCACTGATCATATCCAAGAAACATCAGTGAACACAACAAAATGGATCAAGAAAATTATGTTTCAGAAAACTGTACAATAAGGTGAAGCGTACACATAAAATTATTTCCAAGATCGTGCATTTCAACTTTAGACCCATCAATAACAGTTATGCTCCCGATGCCTCCAAGAACGAGATTTTTCAATGCTTCTGATCCAGTTGGACCACAATTAAGCAGGCATATACTTGCTTTCTCAAGTGCTGTTTGACCTTGTTCTCCCCAGATCCTGAAATTTGCAATAATTGGTATGACGATAAGTAATAATGCTGAAATACTAGACAAATAGTTCTTCAAATATCAACATGAGTGAAAAATAGTAACCCCCATCTACCATCAATAAAGAAGAAACTTGTTAAAAAATGAGATACGTGAAGGAAGCACAAGAACAAAATACAACTACAAGAATGAAATAAATACAATACGCAAGTTTTAATAATAAAAAGTATGAATTCTTGTTGGTTAAATAAAACATGTTGCAAACAAGGATATAGAGCAAGTGACATAGTGAACAGACAGTTGATACCATCTATGATTGAAGAACCGAGTACCATAAAGTTGTTATGTGCAAGAATCTTACCGGCTGCAGGTCTAACAATTCATTTCACCATCGATCAACCCCGATAGTAATGATGGCGATCTTTTAGGTGGCCAGTTTGACCAGCAAAAATCAGGTTTTGTATGATTTTTTCAGTGACTAAGATGATCGTCATATCGGATTAAAACATTGTGCTCGTTTTAATAATGAAATGTTGAAGGACATTCACAGCTAGTTAGCAAAAATTTTTAGTAATTTCATATATTCCTAGCTGTTGGTGAGATCTTTTCTAGATGGTTGTACAGAGAAGAAGAAAGCAATGCAGTTTAAGGAACTATTTTTTAAGACTAATATGGAGTAATTGCAGTAAGCATTCAAGTGGGTCAAATGTGGACAATTGGTCTAACATTGTTGCAGGTACTGGTCAAGGACTCATCACTTACAATCAAGTATAAGCCAAGGAATCATGAAAAACATGTAGACATGTAGACAGCTATCTTGTTGTGTGATCATGAGAAAACCCAAAATCCAAAATGTTATATTGTAGCCCTAACAACCATCAAAAACTATTTGAAGTTATTTTCATAAAACTCCCTGAACCTTTTATTAATCTGTTATTTGACAGCAGCATTCCGTTCAAGTTATGTAAGGTCTTCCCTGCATATAAATGAAAAATGCTCCTCCAATTATCAGCTATCATCTAGATAGTTCTCCTTTGTGGATTCCATCCTTAATTATTGATAGAAAAAAAGTACTGCTTCCACACCCCATGTTACCAACGCACAAGGTGTAATGCAGGGCGCAAAGTCCCTCTGCTTACATGCGCAAGGTGCAATGCAATGCGCGCCCAAGTGAAGCAAGGTGCACGTTGCACACATAATTTTTCAAGATAGATAATCAAGCATGAAATAACATATTTATGTATTTTCACATAAAAAATATGTCAATATAAATAATATCTTTAACAAAGTCACAAAATAAGGTCTTAATTCTTAATGCTAACACATCCAACATAGTAGTAAAGTTCATATTTTTTCAAATCAAAAGTTAAATCAAGACTAATATCGAAGAAAAATTAAGGGTCCTCAATCGGGCTACTAAAAAGGCCAAACAGGTTTATTTTGCTTTTTGGTATACGAGTTACCAGGTATAGACCTGCTAGAAATATTAAAGAAAAAATATGTGTGAGGTTATGCCTTGCATGCGCCAAGTGCGAAGCGCAAATCACTTGTGAGGTGCAAAAGGCGTTGCTGCATCAGATGTAGGTGCTTCGCCACCGTCCGGCATCACAGGGCACATGAGGCGCAGTGAGGCGTGCGCCTTCAATAACATTGTCCACACCATTTCAATAAATTTCAACCATTTTGTCATCAA